CGCAGGGAGTTTGGACGTGAGAAACAAGTCTAAGGAAATCTCCCAAGAAGAAATTCACGTCACGTTTAACTACCAACGTGTTTACCTCTGTTTGATGGACTGACTCAAACGAATGCACTTGAAGTAGCTTACGCTGATTCTCGCTTGTCTCTTTACTTTCTATTTCTTTCTCCCTCCGCCATCATTTTCCATCTTCCTAATGTCTTACATTCGACGCCATGAAGTGTTTAGAATTCAGCGGTATTCAGTTCATGCCATGTATTCGGTAGGTATCAGCTTCGAATCCTCGACGGACTGCAGGCAATCCAGAGATTTCGTTCGATACAAGCTATATATAGCTTGTATCGAACGAAATCTCTGGATGCTTACACACACACACACACTCAGATATATAACTTGATGTCACAGTCTTCTTCCGGGAGAGGCTTCTCCAGAGTACATATATATCTAGGAGTCATCTCTGAAAGTATGAGTAGGAATAAAAACTAAATTATTTTGTCCAACCTCCTTGATGGGTCATATGCTTGTTGTGATATAACATGAATCAAATTTCAACCCCCATCATGAAGATTATATGCACCTTGACCAGTTGGCACTGCCTGCTTTACAAGGGGTTCAGACATTCAATTTTTGCTGATCGCCCAGAAGCATTTACAATAATATTTTTAAACACCCTAGGGCGAGAACACATCAAGGAAACTGGCAACCACAACGAAACCGCAGTTTCCAAGAATTATTATCAGCCTGAATTGAACACATGTTATTGAACAGAGCAGCGCAAATTGAGGAAACGGCAACACAACTAGCGGAAAGACTGAGAAACTCAACTTCCAGGCAATGGAGCATGCCGGTCTGAACTACCACTACATTATCTTCCGTTGTAGAAGGCAAGTGAACGAAATTAAAAAATACAACCATGCATTACATCAGACGAACACACTCGTTTAAGATGATGTGAGTAACTAACCAAACATAAGTTTCCTCAGTGTGCACCTGCTAATCTGGAAACCAGTTGCCTGTTTCAAATCGACGACATTTCTCAGAAATTGCGGTTGCCAGTTTCCTTGGTGTGCCCTCGCCCATACCCAATCGTACAATATGATTCAACTTACGCATATACATGACATCTGTCCACTCTATGCTTGGCCGAACCAGAGTCTATTCCTTGCCCAACTTTTTTTAATTCAGCTTAGTGGGGGGTGGGGGGGGGTGGAGTCCAACTGGGTCCACTCGGCACGGCGGCCATTGATTGGCCTATTGTAGCCTGCCCCGGGTGATCATGATGATGGAAAATTTGGTGGAATGAAGATTGGCAGGGGAAACCGAAGTACTCGGAGAAAACCCGTCTCAGCGCCACTATGTCCACCACAAATCCCACTTGACCAGACCCGGTGGGAAGCCAGCGACTAACCGCTTGAGCTTTGGCGCGGCCTTTACCGGAACTTAGTTCTTGACACCTCGATCTAATGGATCTAATGTACTGCTGCGTAACAATTCCGTAAGAAGTTGACCAATTTCCTAACAGATAGCGGATACAAGAACCTCGCGCTAGCGCTAAGGACGGCAGAAAATGAAATTATAGCAATATTCCGTAAAAAGTTACTCAAATTCCTAATAGATGGCGGACACATCAAACACGCGCTAGCGCTGAGGACGGCAGAAAATGAAATTATAGCAAAATGTTCATTCTAACCATGATTGTCAAAGGACAAAGGCGCTGGTTATAAAGATTCGCAAGATGCAAATCCTCCCATTCGAATCGAAACTGTCAGTAGCCATCAGTAGTACATAGTAAGATTGCTCGGTCCATTCTTCCATATGTAATAAATAAACTTGAGAACAGCTTAACTGATTTTCATGACATGTTATGGCATATTACCAGACTTGAGGTCATCATCCAGTCTGCAAAACCATGCAATTCGGTAGAAGCCCACCGATGTCCTGGCGAAATAAATCGCCTTCATGTTCAGGTTTCGTTTGTAAGTCATGCATGCACCAATTAAGCACGTCGTTCCATTCTGCCACCTTGAGCAATATGAAACCGATAATCCGGCTTTGAGCAGAGTTCGAGCATTGGCAATACATAACCTGACAACGAACTTCTGCCACACTGATCATAAAGAATGCCAGATACTTCATGACACAGCACAAACCCCAATTCATGTTTCCAAATTTAAGGGTTTTCCTATATTAATTAATTCCGATGGTCCATTTCTAGCTTCATTTTCTGGGTGGCTCGGATTATCCAGTGCTCAATGATTACCAATTAATGAATTGGAAAGGATGTGGAAGGAAGCATCCATTATAAGGTATTATCAGGGAATTTGGCAGAAAAGGAGGAAAACCATGAAAAATCTCAAACAGTATAATCATTTTCAGGCTTCTCCCAAATGTAAATCACATGCATTACTTCTGAAGCCAGCTGTCACAGAAATGTTAAATGATCATTTTGCTATATTACAATTCCATGTTATGACAGTTGGGAAAAATTTTGAAGGAAGCAGTCATGGTCTAATCAAGGTAAGAACCCAGCATTTGCCTCAATCAGGACAGCCAATGTTGCAGCTGAAATATGTATCAAACATCTCCTGAATTTAAGTCTAGATTTCTCATTTTGGTAATGCTAAATCAGGTGCCTATTTCAGCACTTAATCCTTCCTATGTGAAGTTCTTTTGGCTATTTAGAATAAAGAAATGTCAAAGGACATACATATACATATGTACTCTGGGGCTCTGAAAACAATAAGGTAAAAGGTAAAGTTGTCCCTGTGCTTATGAAGGCATATGAGGCAGTGGATGTATAGATCCACATTTTCTTGACCTTAGCACTAGTTGGGAGTGGTCAGCTTCACAGGCCTGCTGCTTTAACCCTGGGGAAAGAGTCCCTGGTACCCATTGGATAAGAGGTTGGGTGGACACCAGAGCCGGTCTGTGACTTGGAGATGAGAAAATTCTTGACTCTATCCGGACTTGAACTCCGACCCCTCAGTCATCCAGCCTGTAGCCAGTCACTATAAATTTGTCTGTAGGACCAGTCCAACCAAGAAACTTTAGGAAAATTCTCTGCACAATCAGCACTCTGCAAGCATTGCGAAGTTTTCCATATAAAATATTTTTGGGGTACATCAAACTTCGTGCTTGCAAACGTATGGGGGGGAATCTTGTTTGCTGAACAAGATTTCCAATATGGCAATTCCTGTTCCCATCACATGTAAGAAATAAAATCTGAGAACTTTCTTATGATATTTGTTACTACCTGATGATGACGCACCCTCAAAAGATGTTTTAGACACAGTTTATCTTCAGTATACAAACACCTTTATCAGTTTGATGATTCACTGGAGTTCATCGCTTTACATATCCAAGCAGATGCTTTCACCCGTGTGTATGTAGTGTGATATTGTGTGGCTATCCACAAATAATGTTACAATAGTGTTTTTATAAACTTATTCTACTTTAAGTATGGAAGGTCCCTCAGGGAAACTAAAGGTTAAAAAAATATGAATCTATTTAACCCTCATCGATTTGGAAATGGAAAAAGTTACACAATTCATAGCTTAATGGTATCTATAATACATGCAGTATTACCAAGGCAACTACATCCAAGGGGTCAGATATGTAGCACACTTAAAGGAAACAAGCCATACTAATAAAATTTAAGGAAATTATGGGTTAGGCCCCATGTAAAACCACTGCATGAATGGATGATATTGAAATATATCTTTGGGCTGAAAATGTGCTTAGACACTGGTAGACAACACCTGTTTAGTTTCAAACAACTTTCCTTTTTAAAGATAGCTATTTCCAGTGGCTGGCAATGTCATAACTATTGTGAAGGAGTTACAAATAGTCTCAACAGGTGCTGAGGCAGGCAGGCATCCATACCAGTGATGCATCAGTTGACAGATCCCTTCTACAGGGAACTTCGTGGACTGGTGCTGGAATCACTGCACCGCCACAGCACAATCTTGATGTCTTCACACCATCTGAATCTACAGTCTTTCAGCACTTTCTTAGGAGGGATGAACACATCTGAACCGTATATTTCACCAGCCCAACTTTTGCATAAAAAGAAAAAAAAAAGATAAATATAAATCAGAGCCCTCTGATTCCAAATTAAAAATATGAGAAGACAGTCATAACACTGTGGAAAGCAAACATTTATTTCTGGTCCTAGAAGAAACTCAACATACAGAATGCATTATCTTCCCATATTTCATGAATTTCAGTTTAGTAAGTAATGCTCATTTAATTTAAGAATTTCTGACTTTCCAGAACCTGTACCTCAATTTAGCGGGTTCACGGTCAGAAAAACTGACATTCATATTTTCTCTGACAGAAATTGATACTAGAGAATGATAATCTTTGGCAAGTGATGTCATATACTAAACCTGCAACAAAACCTCACTGCTTGTGGCAGCATAGCTGCTTTGATTCTCAACCGAGGTTCTTTCATTGTTTACTTATGTCATTAATTATTTGAGAGATTAATTTGACATTAATGGCAATGCAATTGTATTTATCTGTGCAGAAACAGTTTCTTAAACTACATTTGTAAATAATAATTTCTTCACAATTGTACAAAGTGAGTTGTATAAGACGAACAGCTGCGCAAGTCTACATAATCCCCATTTATTAAAATGCCACATTTAATAGAATGAAAGCGAATTCCCCCACGCACTAATTACATAAGGGATTTCGCTGCATTACAAATTAAGTTAAATACAACTAGATGCTAAAGCAATTCACTTAGCACGTTCAGGTTTCAAAATGCAGCTTAAAGTTAACTCTTGTGTCACTGAAAGATAAAACTACTGACATGAAAAATAGACTTACTTCATTGTACCCATAACTTCACACGGTCAGATTAGATTTTGGTATCAGGTTGGGTTCAAATACAATTGGATCTCTTAACGGTATGATTTACTGGGCAACACAGAATTTTTGCACTCATNGTGTTATAACAGGTGACGAAACATGGGTTTACGGATATGACGTTGAAACTAAGGCTCAATCGTCTCAGTGGAAGCATCCTGGATCGCCAAGACCGAAAAAGGCTCGACAAGTGCGTTCGAACGTGAAGGTTATGCTTACTGTGTTCTTCAATTTTAATGGCATAGTGCATCATGAATTCTTGCCTCAAGGTCAAACGGTCAATAAGGAGTACTACCTGAAAGTTCAACGCCGTTTGCGTGAGGCAATCCGAAAAAAAGGCCCGGATTTGTGGAAAAACAATTCATGGCTTTTGCACCACGATAATGCACCTGCTCACACTTCGTTGCTTGTTCGTGAATTCTTGGCCAAAAACAATACTGTAACGATGCCCCAGCCTCCATATTCGCCAGACATGGCTCCGTGTGACTTTTTCCTATTTCCAAAAATAAAGAGAACCTTAAAGGGCCGTCGTTTTACAAGCATAGATGACATTAAAAGCGCATCGCTGAAAGAGCTAAAGGCTATCCCAAAAATCGAGTTTGAGAAGTGTTTCGATGATTGGAAGAAGCGCTGGCATAAGTGCATAATATCGAATGGGGACTATTTTGAAGGCGACAACATTAATGTAGACGAATGAATAAATATTTTTTCCAAAATACGGAAATTCCCGTCATTTTTTGAACACACCTCGTATACATGGGTTAAAGCAGTGCCTGGGGTTGGTGGGGGGAAGCTGAAAAACTGGGTTGGCAAATATTTCCCCATTTGGCATTCACTAGTTGACCTTTAGAATTACAGCAATCTCACTTGTTACATCTTGCACAAAAGAATGGCAAACCAAGGCAATTTAGTAACTCACAAGACCTAGCGCCTCTTTTAAATGAATCTTTCTCATTAACTTGTGTCGGGTTTGGGCGTGAGTTCAGAACAAACACTATGACAGGAAAAAAATAAATCTTGCAAGCTGACTGTAGCTGACAGAAATACTGATGCACCTTTTTCTGACAATTAAAATACTGACCCGGATACTAGATTTTCAGAACTTTTCCAATCCCCATGCAGTATCATTCATGGAGATACATATGCTAGTCATACTGTTATTGCCAACAAACTTGGGGACTGTATTAGCCACAACAAATCTTATGGAAAAGTAGGCACTTCCTTACAAAAAAGTGAAAATCATGAAGTGGGGTGCCACACAGTGGTACTTGCCTCTTAATTGTGCAACTCAATACACCTAACGGTAAAAGTGTTAACTTGCATCCCCACATGAAGGGTTTGTTCTGGTTTGTGCTGCACTGTGCTTACTCAACATCACTGCAAGAGTTGAAAACAAGCACAGCTCTGGTAGAGTACTCAAGGCATCAGAGTGACGTAGTGTTGGCTGCTTATCCATACGTTATCTCAACGGTTTACTTGCTCGAAGATGTAGTAGCCTTTGATTTGGTTTGTGGTGTTATTTTACGACCCAGCAAGTCATAACCTGAAGGAAATGCCAGTTCTTGATCCGTATCTGAACTCTGTTCACTATCGCTTGAATCAGGATATACACCCAAGCCAGGCAGAATACCAATACATTGCAGACCCACAGAAGTGGAGTCCCCATTCTGCACTTCTTCATCGGGATACTTTCTCTTTTTCAACACATCTTCGCCACTTTTTGTGTCCAAGACCTGTGCTGCTGTAACGGGAGATTCAGAGGAATCTGCATCTTCACTCACTGCTGCTCTGTCTGCAAAGCGATAGACATTACATCTACAGCAAAATGTTTTATGTAGAACACAGGGAAGCAATGACAGTGAATCAATTGCCTCTACCCTTCCTCATCTGACATTTGGATATCCAAAATATCTAAATCCGTCTCCGGTACCCAAGTGATAGGTTGTCTACACAGGAAAATGAAGACAAAGCCTTTCAATAATCTATACATTGCAAGTTCAAAAATAATGCAGATGATTAAAAACATGTTCAATTGCACATATCGTTTGCTATACTCATGTACAGGAATAACTTCGCTATTTATTGGTATAACAAAATCGAGGGAATAATCTCTCAATGGAAAACTAGTTCGATGTGGTAACTAATGGCATCCAAGACCAACTGAAGTCAAAATTACAAACTGCTAACCAGTCTCACTGTATGCACTTCAACCCCCTCAAATGGAAGCCTCATGCCTTGGGGAAATGGATGGAAGTCACTGAATCACCCTGTTACACTACTGCATATGCCATCCTGGCAAACAATGTTTCGGAAACTTACCACATCTGGCAATGTGTACTCCCAAACCTACAGTTCAAATTATTAACCAAATTATTTATCCATAATCAAGCATTTCAGTCAATATGTGCAATTCAAAATGAAGCATCTCTTACGAGGATAAGTCAATAAGTAAGTTACAAATTGATATAGAACTTAAATAAGAGTACTGATTTGAAAAATGCTTTTATTTCTCAACATAATCTCCCTGTACATTGAGGGACTTGTTCCATCGTTTCACAAGCCCCTGAAAACCAGCAGCATAAAATTCTTTGGACTGCTGTCGGAACCAGGTGGTGACTTCCCTTTCTACAGCTTCATCGTCAGGAAAATGTTCAGCTGAAAGATGATGTTTGAGAGGGCCGAACAAATGTAAATCGCTTGGAGCAAGGTTGGGACTATAAGGAGGATGCTCGAGGACTTCCCACTTGAAATGTTGCAGCGTCTCATTTATCTTGTTGGCAGTATGGGGGCGCGCATTGTCATGCAAGATCAACACGCCTTTGGTGAGGGGTTCTGGTCACTTCTGTTGAATGGCCTTACGAAGTTTCCTGAGGATGTTTCAGTAGGAGTTGGCATTTATGGTTTGTCCTTGAAACTGGAACGCAGTGAGCAGTATGCCTTCGTGATCCCAGTCACCGCCTGGCTCCGACAGCAGCCCAGAGAATTGTATGCTGCTGGTTTTCAGGGGCTTGTGAAAGGATGGAACAAGTCCTTCAATGTACAGGGAGATTATGTTGAGAAATAAAATCATTTTTCAAATCAGTACTCTTATTTGTTTAAGTTCTATATCCATTTGTAACTTACTTATTGACTTCTTCTGGGATTTGGCACCGTGTATATGTGGTGTTAACCGACGTTTCGGAGGAACGTATCGCCCCCATCTTCAGGGTTGAAGAAAAAGTATAAGTAAATCTGCAAGCGACAACACCGTGAGACACGGTCAAACGGACTAGTCTGTTTGACCGTGTCTCACGGTGTTGTTGCTTGCAGATTTACTTATACTTTTTCTTCAACCCTGAAGATGGGGGCGATACGTTCCTCCGAAACGTCGGTTAACACCACATATACACAGTGCCAAATCCCAGAAGACTGCTTTCTTCATAGTCACCGCCGTGAAAGCCTCAAATCTTACATTCTTATTGACTTACCTACGTATCTACCAGAAGTAGACCCATATTCAGACTGGCTCACCCAGCCTCCTATACAATTGTCTTCAGGGAATTATACCTGAAGACATAAGAAGCCCCACCATCAAGATGACTGTTCACCTCTATCCAGTGCCAAGGATAAAGCTGCATTCCTTTGACAAACATTCATAACCATCTTACACACAAGAAACGTTACTCTAAAACTATGTTAGAGTAATGCATCAAACCTTTGTTGTCAGTACAAGGCTTCTTGTCTGGAACCTGGGCAGAACACTCAGCTGGTCGCTTTCTGACTACTGCTCCTGCCAGCAGTCGCACCTGAGAGCTGCGTCCACTGATAAACAGCAAAATGTGCAAGTAACATAACCTTTCAAGGAGATCATAGCTGTACTGAGGCCACTAATGGTGGTATTGACAGTGCTTGGGGCTCTCTGCCTAATCACGTGTTCTACTCCAGCCTGTCAAATTTTTGTGGATTATTAAACAACACTGTCAGAATCTAAATTACATAACATCAGACGGCAGGATGGTTCATTCACAATGAATCTGCAGGATCTGCAACGGCCTAATCAAGGTACTCTCCTGAAATTTGCGTGCAGGAACTGAGTAAAACCACAAAAATCTCAGTTCAGGGTAGCTGGTTTCCTGGTTGAGTTTCAAACCAAGCAGCTTCCAGATGTGTCTAGATCACTGCCTCTAGACCAACCTGTTTGGTCTGTATTATTCAGGCAAAAACACTTGTCCCCAGCATTTGTGAGAGTCATGTGAAGAGAGTGGCTACACTGGAAGGGAACATAAAGAACCACCGGAGTGGAAAGCATATCAACTTTGGGGGAGAGACAGTGGGGTAGATCCATCAGACTTCTTTATATGGCCTCAGTACAAGCCTTAAATACCACCTAAAAATCTATTCCAAACTAAATAGCACAAGAAAACAACACAAACGAGGAAAGTACTGTTTTCTGAGATGTGACACCACGCAATTCGGTATTTTCAATTTGGAGGAATTCACTGCCTCCATCTCCAAGGTCAAAACGTCAGCGAACTTATACCAGCCCTCTCCAGCCTCACTGTCATGAGAACCATAAATCAAACAAAATAAATATGATTTCTACTTGTGCACTCCACGAGACTGTTTAAAAAGCAAAATATTTTTTACGAAAATCTGAAGGTACCATTTTTAGGAACTGTTCACTATGTCACTGGACTGCTGGCCCATGATATTAACAGCCTAACTATATACAAAACTGATAAGTACCTGGTGGTACCACTCTGAGTGGGAGGGCGAGAACGAATTTCTGTGTGAATCCTCTCCTCCAGTGAACGTTCCTGAAGGGTTGCGACCGCATCTCGGAAGTCCTTCATCTCACGTGCCTCTTCTGCACACTTTCGTCTCTCTTCTTCCAATTTGCTGCGATCAACGAGGTCCAGAAACTCCACCTCATCATCATCTAAACCCTTTATCATGTTTTCTGTGAAAAATTTGCATCAGTATGTTACACAAAAGATTCAAAGTAACAAGGAAAGACTAGTAAAGACAACACCACATGGTGAGGAGGAAACGAAAACCAGGTGCAAATAACTAATGTGAGGAACCAGCTGCCGGGGAAAACATTTTAATATATTTTACAGAAGTGACGACACCCTGAGTGAAGTGAAACAACAAATTATAAAAGACTTTTATTTCATTTTAATTAAAGGAGGACTGCAGCGTGTAGTTTTTTAAAATGAACTGGAACAGCGAAACAGCGTAGCAGTTTTAACAAGGTCTTGATTGAATATCTGTAATAGAACACCTGAAGATGGCCCTATGAGGCCGAAACATGTAGTGTTAAGTGTTAAAGAATATACTGAGGTGTAAAACAAGTGTTGCAATTTAGAAGGATATAGACAAATGGATGCTAATGTGACAAGGAAAAATAAGGACCATATTTCTTGCATTAAAGTGTGAAACTGGATGGAGCACTAAATAGCAGGGCGTGATTTTGGAATGGCAGAGGAAGAGTGGTCACTGGGATTTGGGGCTTTCTGAACAAGCTGCTGAGTAGTAAGTCCAACAATTCAAAGCACAAATGCAATGGTGTTATTAATGAAATCATAAGTCCAGGATGTTCTAACTCAGGAAATCGTAAGTTTATGCATGACTGTGTTCAGAATAGCAGAGACTGTATCTGCAACACATTCATGCTTCACTGGACAGCACTTCTCGGCGTCACAATGGACAGTGCAGAGTAATGTGGCATGGGCTGGACTATTCACCCTCATCTCCTCAGCATCTGCCAATTATTGATGACAACTCTCTGGAATCTATCTCTGAGGTAGGATTTTACCAATACATTGACCTTACCAACTATTCAGTAAATTTCAAGTTTAGACAGTAAAATATCGACAGTCAAAAGCTTTCTTCAAATCACAGAAAATGCCACCAACTAATATTTTGTTATTCAGTGCATTTCATTAATTAATTTATAGGAGGCCATTTCTGTAGATGAATTACTCCCTAAACCACACTGTTCATTTGCTAATGTGTTGTTACTCGCTGTATATTGGTGCAGTCTTGCATATATAACCTTTTCAACAACTTTTGAAAAGGATGTCACTAATCATATAGTTCTGTAGTTAGACATAATGGTTTTATTTCCATTTTAAATAGTGATTTTATTTCTGAATATTCCAACCAAGTTGGGGCACTAATGAGAGGCATGCTGATTTTTAAAATTACAACCGGAATTTCATCATACCCACAAGAATTTTTTGGTTTTAAAGACTTAATTATATTTTCAGTTTCTTTAGTAGAGGTATGGTTTTTAATTTTAGGGAAGGGTGTCGTGAAAGCTCGAGACAGATAAATTATTTTAATGAAGTTTAAGATGACATAAAGCAAAATAGGCCATTTTATAGGTTCCTAACACTGTGGTACTAGGTAACTTACTGAGCTTGTGTGCTTCTTCATATTCAAGTTCCCGTTTACGTTTCTGCTCCTCGAGACGTTCGAACAATGAGCGATGATCATACTCTCCCTCTGGACATTCTGAAAAGTAATAAATCTACATGGACACTACAGAATAATGTAACTCTAAAAACTGTATCATACAGATTCCTATTAAAATTACATTTTGTACATTTACTGTGCTCTCATTTTGGTCAAAGAAACACAACATTTTGGAACCTGAGTCCTGTTCATTTATCAGGCAAAAAAGTATAAAACATACTCTGTTAGGTCCAACAGAAGGAGCCAATATGTATCTCTGAAATGCATGGCCCGAATGAACCGAGTTTACAAATACCGATTCTCACATCATTCAAAAACAGCCTGGATCATTCCAAAAACCTCCCTACTTCCAAAACATTTGTAAATGTTTTGTTAACATACTACACTTTCATTTAAAACATAAAATTATGTAACACTGCCTGGTACATTTCAACATTAATGACTAAACATTTTGGACAGCAAAATTCAACAGATCGTTTCGCCCTGGGAAAAAGGAAATGTTAGATGGAATTATGGGTTGCCAACGTCAAAACATTTCGTGCATTATTCGTATTGTTACATTTAAGTTACTTATACAAATGGCTCTCACGCACCTTCTGGCTGACCGGGCTTTCGGACCTTCTCCCATTCTTCTTGTCGAATACGCCGTTGTTCTGCTAATTCTGTTTCCGAGATGAAACCAGAACTCATTGTAGCAGTCAGTGGGAAAATAAACAAAACAAATAAATACGCTTGCCAAATTTACCACTTTCGTGGGTATTCGATCTGAATTATCGGAACTATGCCAACCTACCAACAAAACATTCATGCCAAACAATCCGTACATACTAAACACAGTCTAAATAATGCTTTCGTTATCTCTTCATGAAAGAAACGACAGAGGTGATATAAGCAAAACGGGCGGTAATATTGGAATACCTTCAACCTACATATTTGCAGATATATAATTCACATTTCATTCTCATTCTCACCTTTTAATAACTGTGTAGCAATGTGGTACAATACAAAACTTCAAAATACATCCAACATCATTGATCGCTCCTAACAATTCTAACAAATTGTAACCGCCATAACGGCCATAACAACCATAGCAACTAGGAACGGAGCCTATACGCTCTATGTAGGCCATGTAGGCTATGTGGGCCAATCGCATATTACCACAGATTCACAGATTACTTACTCCGGATGGTTGCCACCGTCGCCACGGTCGTCACTGCGAACGGACCAACACACGAGCCCTGCCGACAGTAAACATCGGTAACCATTGCCAATAGCTCAGCCGGCCAAAACGTTAACTACTATCTGCTCCTTACCATTCTCCACCCCACAACGTTGTCACAACCATAATTATTTCCTTCAATTCGAGCCCCTTGCACTGCAAAGGAACGTAGGTCAGTCGGTAGAAACATTCACTATCCAGAAAGAAAGCAGTCTTCTGGGATGTGGCGCCGTGTAGAAATTGTGTTAACCGACGTTTCGGAGGAATGTATCGCCTCCATCTTCAGGGTAGAAGACAAGAAAAAATCCGCAAGCTAACCAGCAGAGCAGGTGCAACAGACTGAATCCAGTCGAGTAAACACAGCTGTATAAGAGAAGGAGAGGAGTGTGGCTACATGGGGAAATAGTAGAGGGGAGGAGAGGGAGGGTCTGCTGGAATAGCCAGCAGGTAGTGGGCCAGAGCTGGTATAGAGGGTATAGAGTATGTGTTAGAGGGAGAGAAGGGAAGGTTAAATGGAGGGCATTAACCCTGTAGCTTGGGGGGGGGGGGGCTGCGATGGACCTGAGTGGCCTATAGGTCTGCCGTATTTCGGAGGTTACTTGAGGGAACAGAGCAGAGACTTCATTGACTTGCTGAGACAAAACCCCACCTCTGTTCATATTGTCGGGATGCAGTTCAATCTCAATGGCCTCCCTAATGATGCGATCCGTCTTGGTAGCGAGGATGGAGGTATTCTGAAGCTGAATGTGGTGTCCCAAATCGATGCTATGTTCAGCGATAGCTGACTTGTCTGGATGTTCGAGACGGATGTGCCGCTGATGCTCCTTCAACCTCGTGTCCACAGAACGGAAGTCTGCCCAATACAGAACTTGCCGCACTCGCGTGGGATATTGTATACACCTGGTGTCCTTAGTCCCAGGCTATCTTTGACCAGCCAGAGGAAACTAAATACTTTCTTTGGAAGCAGGCCCACTGATTTGATGTTGTCTTCTATCATGAAGATGGAGGCGATATGTTCCTCCGAAACGTCGGTTAACACAATTTCTACATGGCGCTACATCCCAGAAGACGGCTTTCTTCATAGTCACCGCCGTGAAAACCTCAAATCTTACATTCACTATCCAGTTTGCACAATTTCTCCTTCTGTTCTCAAAAAGGCAATAAATATTTTTGCAATCCAGGCATCCTGTTCTTCCTATCATATTCCCCTCCATCACACCCTTCGCAATGTCGCTACATGGTTGGAAGACATTTGTGGCTCTGCCCTGTGACTATAAAGATTGCTGTCTACTGGGGTGAGACTGGGTAGTCTCGACGGACCAGCAACAGACTATCAGAATACACAAAAGTAGAAGTAAGTAAAGCTATCCCTGTACCAGGCCGTGAAGGCACATAGGGTTGTGAGACGTTGAGGCTCCCACTAAGTAAGGAACAATATGACTTCAGAACAGGATTGAAGACAGATGATGCAACCTATAAAGTAACAACGGAGATTTTAAATTCAATGAACAACAAATTATTAGTGGGAGGGATCTTTTATGACTTGGAGAAAGCATTTGTGTTGAGCATGGGACTTTTATTATCTACATTGAAATTTTATGGTATTAATGGAAGGAATCTTGCACTGTATCGATCTTACCTGGATAATAGACATCTAAGGATGTCGATTCATAATGACAGTGACAACAAAGTTTCAACTTGGAACAAAATTAATCATGGAGTCCCACAGGGAGTGTTCTGGGACCTCTACTGTTTCTTATTTATACGGACTTACATAAAATAATAAACAAAACTTCTGTACCTATACTTTTTGCGGATGATACTAGTATTTTATTTACTCAGCCTAATCTAACAGATTTAAATAACAACAGCCATAGAATTTTGGAAACTTTAAATAAATGGTTCAAAGCAAATTGGTTAGCTTTAAACTTTAACAAAACACATTATATTCACTCTGTAACTAAGAAAAATATATCTGCCAATTAAAAAGGATACGTTATAACCAGTACTTCCTGTACAAAATTCCTAGGGATGATAATGAATGAAACTTTGTCTTGGGATAATCATATTGAAGCACTTGCAAAAAAATTGAGTAAGGCTTGTTTTATAATTAGAAGCACCAAAACATACATGTCTACTGCATCATTAAAAATAATTTATTATGCCTTCTTTCACTTGGTGATGAGCTATGGAATCATATTTTGGGGTAATTCCCCACATAGCACGACAATTTTTCGTTTACAGAAAAAAGCAATTAGAATTATGGAAGGATGTGGGAATAGGGTTTCGTGTAGAGACGTATGTATTTAGGAAACTACATATTTTGCCTCTGACGTCTCAATATTTATTGTCCTTATTGATGTTTGTAGCTCAACATAAAGACCTTTTATAACAAGCATTTAAAGTCAGAACCTTGAAACTAGGCAAAGTAATAACTTATATATTCCACAGGCAAATTTATCCACTTATCAAAAGGGAGCCTATTATTCGGGGATAAAAATCTTTAACCAATTACCCTCTCATATTAAGAATGTTATTGGTAACATAGCTAAATTCAAAACCACTTTAAAAAAATTTTATAGATGAATTCATTCTACTCATTGGAAGAGTACTTTGATCAATATCGAGAGTAGTTATAATAACATATCTGAATGTAAATTTTATGGCTCACTTGTGTATTATATTTGTAATTTATGATTTTTTTGTTCATTGTAAACAACTCTATAATGCCTATTTTGTTATAATTAATGAGTTTATATTTTATACTGTTGTATTGTTCCATGTAAACAACTTTTGTAATTGGTTTGTATATACTAAGTGAGGACAAGTTCTGTATTCATCTTGTGGATGTCTGGAATACTGAATAAATACAATACAATGAACCTTCAGCTTCCACAAAATGTTAGGAATTTAACTCAGCAAATAAAGAAGTCCATACAGTTAGTAACAGACTAGTTACTTAGTTAGCAACACATTTGCAACATCTGTCAGACAGCAAAGCAGGCTTTATGACTTAACCTGGAACTGTTCCATTAATCTTTTACATTACCGAGTCCACACTTTAGAAAACTGTCCACTAAAAATAACTAACATGCTGCTTACAGAAAAATGTGAACTTCTTACACTGCACAGTTTTACCTGTAAGAACTAAACATATGAAAATCGCCCAGCAAACAAAACAACTCCTATTTGAACGTTCTTGATCACAAAAACAAATGGATGGTTGGCGGTGAACTCTTTGAGAGGCAGTTGTGCACACCTCAGCATCAAGACAGCAGCTGGGAAGGAAGGAAAAAGACTCATCAAATGACACAGATTTCAATGGCCAGTGAGCATAAATGCAACGTATTGTAAGATGGGAGCAGCCACTGTTGAATTTTAAAGTGTTTCTGACTTCTAAAATTTATCTTCAAATATATGTAAACCTCTGCCAAATTTGTGGTTCTCACAGCATTCACTATGACAAGTACTTACTACTTTAATTATTTCTTGCATCCTGTTGTATATTTAATTAATATTAGAGTCAATTTTACCGAACACACAACATACCTTTACTACTATTACACTACATGTTTCGACCTCAAGAGGTCATCCTCAGGTGTACGAGCACAGCAGTATAATTACACGCAATCACATTTGTCTTCTCACTTATTTGATCTTGTATCTTATTCAGGCCCACGCTCAATAACATATCAAGCTCCTCTCACAAAACACAAGTTAAAATATTATTCTAAATGTCAAAAGTTAAAATTTTAAAAATTTGTGAATCGAATTTCAATTCAGATCACTAGTTATGCTTTCACTTTCATTTGTTATTCAGTCACTTCCTACTTACGCTCATCACTGCGTCAAGTTCACTTTAACTAGTTTAATTATATTACTGGTTAAAAGTTCATGAATTAAAGTTCAATTTCATTATATTGATTGCACTTTTCACATCAGAGGACGCAGAAGAACAGCGAGACCTCCAAAAAGTGAAAAGTGCAATCAATATAATAAAATTCAACTTTAATTCATGAACTTTTAACCAATAATATAATTAAACTACTTAAAGTGAACTTGACGCAGTGATGAGCGTAAGTAGGAAGTGACTGAAAGCATAACTAGTGATCGGAATTGAAATTCGATTTACAAATTTTTAATTTAAAATTTTTAAAATTTTAACTTTTGACATTTAGAATAATATTTTAACTTGTGTTTTGTGAGAGGAACTTGATATATTATTGAGCGTGGGCCTGAATATGATACAGGATCGAATAAGTGAGAAGACGAATGTGATTGCGTGTAATTATACAGCTGTGCTCGTACACCTGAGGATGACCTCTTGAGGTCGAAACATGTAGTGTAATAGTAGTAAAGGTATGTTGTGTGGTCGGTAAAATTGACTCTAATATTAAGTACTTACTATCTTATGAGATGTAATGCCACATAATCTGGTAGAAGTTCAGAGACATTTTGAAGGAACACACTGACTCCATCTTCAGGGTAAAAGAGTAAGCCAAGCAAGCACCAAGCAGAACAAACCATGCATATATCTGAACCAAGTTTTCTACACTCTGTCTGCTGCTTGGTTCAGTCTTCAGTCTTGAGGATGAGAGTGGTACATATCTCCGAAACAACTGTCAACTTCTACCAGACTATACGGTGTCACATAACAGATGATACGAATAATAACTGATTCCAGCAAAGCTCTATGTTCTTAAACAAATGACTTTATGGTAGAAGTCTCTCAGACCCTTGCAACAGGAGCAGCAAGTTCCTCTGCAAACCTTAGCAACAACCTGTAAAGCTACATGGTGTCACAGAGCAGACGTCCTCAATCTCAACATTCCTGACTTGGAAAACCTGAAATCTCTGCAGACTTCTCATGAAGTAGTCTGGCAGAGTCTGCATGTAAAGACAAATTTTCCAATTCATAATTTATAGCCCATGGTTCTTCATTATGGGAAAAATGTAAACACCTTTCACTACATGACATCAATATTTAGCTTTCAATTCAACAGAGGCAATGAACCACTGAACTAAGAATGTGAAATTTAGTACAGACACGGATTAAAACCGAACAGAGGAATTAAGTATTAAACACACACAGAAGTAAACAAATATGAACACAGCGCTTGTGCAAAATTTTGAGGTTAAATCTGACAAATTTAACATGGACAAAATCTGTATTTAAGTGAGTTCTTCCCCAAAAGAAGACACGATCATCACCATCAATGTATATACAATTGCAGGGGGTAAAAATTTTTGGCTTGACCAGGATTCAAACCTATGACCACCTCATCTCCATGCAAGTCTAGCATGCTAACTCATGCGTTAAAACTGAAGTTTGTTGCTCAGTCATAAATTTATATTACCTGAATATGGCATTAACAGTGTACAATTTAACAGGACCAGATGTCTCTGAAATAAGAAACCCTTTCTCTCAAATGTATGCTCCATTCATCCTCAACGCTGCAAAGTCCACACTTTACAGAACTATTCAATAAAAATATATTAACATACTGCTTACACAGAAATAAAATCTTCCTACACTATGCAGCTGTTACCTGTAAGAACTAAACTTGTGAAAATCGTCCAGCAAACAAAACAACTCCCAACTCGACGTTTTGGATCACAAAAACAAATGGATGGTTGGCAGTGAACTGTTTTGGAGGCAGTGGTTTACACGCCATCACCATGAAGACAGCAGCTGGGAAACAAGGAGAAAGCCTCATCAAATGCCATACAGATGTCACTGTCATTCAGGGACCACTAGCTGCAATCTGCATCCACTTATCTTCGCCTACAAATATATCAGCTATCATCTTCTTTATTCTGTATTGTTTTTGGGGGAATCACAAATGGCACAGAACATTCACACACTTCTGAATACAGCCCTCACCATGGCCTGCTCCAATTCCTTTGGCACAATAATTACACACTTTTAGTAACACTATAACCTATACATATACATACACAAAAGTGTAATTCCTCCTGCTGATGTCCTGTTTCCTACTGCAGACTTGAAAACACCCAAGAATATGTAGGATCTGAGATTTCCACAGAAGTGGTTATGGAGAATTTATCTTTTGGGATATAATACCATGCAGTCTGCTGAAAGTCAAGACATTTCAGAGGAATATGTCACCTCTATCTTCAGTGACATAGAATAATCCAAGCAAGAAACCAGCAGGAAGCAGTTACCTGCTTGCCAAGTGCTTCAACTAACTACACAGCATCATATGCTACAAGACAGAACTCCTCATCCAAGCATATGATTATATTTTGCCAACATGATCGATAGCTACAACTGTGCAAGTTTGTGATAGTGTTTCTGGATGTGACTCAAATCACTATTTACAAGTCTTTTATTAATTTCATATGTATACTTCAGATTTTTTTTAATTTGAGTGTTACCCCTTCCTTCAACATTTATGTTCCCTCAAAACATGCATAAGCATAACTTCTCTGTATCCTGCCGCAGTCCTAACAGAGAACACGCATAGACAGTACGCCATACTCTTGCCACTGTGTATGACAGAAATGGCTGTTGCAGCTATGTGCAAGTATCGCTGTAGAGTTTCTGGATGTGACTGCAATCTTCGTCCACCATCTTCTTTTCAGTTACATGAGTAAATTAATTTCTTACAGCTATCATATCCTGGGTGAAGAATGTTTATTTTTGCTTATTATCCTCTCGTCTTCAAAGGGGCCATCTTATAAACTACTCATACTTGAAGTATTGTCCCAGCATTCGATTTGAGGGACTGAGAAGAAGCAGAAATATATCTATTAGCATAGCTGGAACCCTGGCCAAGATTCAATCTGAGTACCTCCAGAATGTGAATCACAAGAACTGCTATGTCAACCTGCTCAGTGACACCATGTAGTCTTGTAGGTGGAATCCAACACTGGAACGATCATGTTACCTATACCTGGCAATTACTTACATGTGCATTGAAGTCACAGCCAAGCACTCTGAACAGAATTTCTAACATATTTCATTATTAAATAACAAATATTTTTCGTTTACATTAAAGTTATTGCGATATTCTTGAGTACAACGTCCATTTTAGGTACGTCTGTATCTTACATTCAAATTGTTTTATCTCTTAAAGATTTTCAAATTTGATCCATGTAAACAGGATTTTCATTTACTCAGAATAACTTGATTAATGCACCCATAATCTTTGGCAGACATCTCTGGATTAACCCTGTATTTAAAATAAAGATATTAATCTGTTTATTTGTTCAAGAAAATACACATGCTATCTGGATGAAAGTCAGGGTTGCAGTTGGGCTAGGGAAGCCTGGGAGGGCTTCTTTTAAGGACATTGATGTAAGATATTGGTTCTTACAGCATCTTCAATATATCTGACCTCAGAGATGGAAGCATCAGCCTCTTTATTTGTATTTTGTGAGCTGTGTGCTGCTCAATTCTCCATTTACAAGCATAAAGCTGTCATCAGATAGTGAGCAGTTTCATATCATGATTTATAAACATTTATTTCTGACATGGCACTGCACGTCAGACACCCTGGTTGTTTTGTCATCAGAAATACATACGCCTGATGAAAACACATAAAGCTACAATCTCTATAAAATTTTAGTCAGGATCTTCCATACAAAACAAGAGCAAAAGCCAACAAAACAATCAGGAGTTGAAAGCTGTAACATACATGATGCACAGTGTACTGTACTTCTGAACACACAGTAAGAGCCTTGTGTTCAGATCACAGCAGATGGCTCTGATAGTAAAGAAAAATGCACTGATATTCTATTCGTCCTTTTAATGTGCAGGGATGTTTGCTTACAGCACCCCTGTATAGTTAACTTAATGTGTTATGCATCAGCCTGACTTCAGACGACAAGCATCTGACTTTTCAGACTGAGTGCACATTTGCAAAATAAATCATCATTGTGTCACTACATTCTGAAGACATGCAATGCCAATAGCTGGATTTTTCAGGCAGCCATTACACCTCATATAAGCTTGCTGCTGATCTATATCGTTCACACATATGACAACACATTAGTATGGAGGGCACCATTTATGCTGCGGGCACAGAACACCTGAACCGAGGCCAATACCAACTCTTGACTCAAAAACAAATGCTTTATCACAGCTCATCGTGGTGAACACCAATACCCACTGGTTTCACAACTCTTCCTACAAATAATGTCAAATTTTTCTGTCTTTCATGTACAAAGAAAACGAATGGATGATTTGTGATGAATTCATGAATCTCTCTTGATGTGAGTGACCGTTTATTTCTCTTGACTCCAGCTACAAGAGAGAGAAAAGAAACAAAAGAATTCTAAGCAGCAGTCATGAATCAGTTGCATGCATTTAGATTATGAAACTACATGGTTTTCTGCATGGTTACTAATATTCTGAGGTCAGTGTAGTGGTAACACTTGTATCGAGGTGTTCGTTTTGAATCTCAGCCAGGATACTGGCTATGTTATAAGATTTTTGTGATTTTTCTAAGTCTCTTCAGGCAAATGCAGGGACAGTACCTCGAATTAGGCCATGACTACTACACCGTATGTCCTTTCCATTTTATTGTTCATCAATCATGCACCCAGTCAATGCTATACAGCCTAAGTACAGGGAGAGGTGTTCCACTACAAATGGTTCAGAGGAACATTCTGCCTCCATTTTCTCCCCTGAAGATGGAGGCAGGTAGATCCTTCGAAATTTCCAGCAAGATGACAAGGTGTTACAGTCCAGAAGACTGCACTCCATATTTTTACTTCCCTGAAGATATCAAATCCCTTGCATACAAATAGACACATGAAATTAACCATAGCATTAAATGTCTGTCACTGTACATGCTCCTGGAAGAAGACACATTTAGAGCTCAATTACATATTTGTTAACATCAGAATCGTGGCTGCGCCATAGCTCAAGCGGTTAGTCGCTGGCTTCCCCCCGTGGTGGTCCGGGTTCGATCCCGGGTATGGTCAAGTGGGATTTGTGGTGGACAATGTGGCGCTGGGGCAGGTTTTCTCTGAGTACTTCAGTTTCCCTTGCCAATCTTCATTCCATCAAATTCTCCACCATCATAATCACCCAGGACAGGTACAATAGGCCAATCAGTGGCCAGCATGCTGAGTGGACCCAGTTGGACTCCATCCCCCACTAAGCGAAACATCAGAATCAGTCAATGCAGCCCTCTTCTTACAACACTGTCTCCATCTGCTGACCAAGTCTCTAATTTTTATTGTAACAAATTTTTAGGCAGAAGTACTTGATGTTAAAATATATCCTAAAGGAATAACATGCAATAATTTGGCATGTGGTTCATTTTACACTGCTGTCAGTGACTAGGAAGTGTCAAGTGAGAGAGTTTCCAAGGAAAAGGTCACTGCCTAACTGAGATACTATCCTGGTACCTGCCTGGAAGGACTGAAGAAAACCACAAAGAAACTCCCATGTATGAGTCAAAGAATGTTACCATTACTCCAGTTCATTATATTCGTATGCAAATGCATGAAAAGGATGCATCTAGCTCACAATCAGGTCAAGTGTCTGGCTCTTGTGAACACAGCAATGAAATGTCAGCATTTCATGAGCTTCAAGGACTCTGTTCCATGGATTGGCTTCATGTGACACAGAATGGGGTCCAGTCCAGTGGCTGGCTTTTGTGAACATGGTAATAAACCTTCAGATTGCACATTCTCATGAGTAGTTAAGTGACTACTTCTGGTCCATGAAGTTAATTAGGGTTCAACAGGAACATGTGTGTGAACTCAGGGTTTCCAGTACACCTGAAGTTATATATGAAGAGGATAGAGAGTTTAGAGTGCTTGGATGTTTCCATCTACATCTACCCTGAAAATGAGGAATGACAAAAGAAATCCAACACAGACATCTCCAATAAAATCACACTTCAACACTCAAGTCAGGGATCAAAAGTTATGGTTGCCTGGTTAACAACTGTGATCAAAAAATGTTAACCTGTGGATTTCCCACTAGGCATTCAGTACTCGGCCACTTGCAGCAGAGAGAAAATGGTGGACCACATCCAAAGAAGTCAAAATCAACATAATTAGTTAAGACATAACAATCAATCACTCCTGAAATTCTCTGGATTGTTCTGTTATCTTATGTCTGACTTCCATGTGTTCAGAACAAACAACGCAACAAAAGAGAGAAATCAGCCTTCCACATGACATGGGGACAATAGCCACAGCAAGGAGCCAGAAAATATTCATCCATATTCTTCTGGAAACAAAAATTTTTGACCAGGTACCAGATTTTTCAACCCCTGCCCCGAGCACAAAAATGAACACACAAAACCAAAAGTTTACTTGCTGTAGATGAAACCCAAAGCACATGACATCCCACAAAACACTATTTTACTATCTGCGTAGCTCCACATTTTCCAGGTATAAAACATATTCTTTGCATTTACAGTTATTTGTCATGGTGCCACACAATGCTTAAGGCTACTTATTTGAACTTTGTCTGTTACTTCTTTACACAGAAACTGTGTTTCAGAAATGGATTATATTTCTACCTTCAGATAGAAAGAATATAAAGAAATTCAAACTGCTCTGGGCCCCTGGGTACAAGAGTAGATCAAACTGAGCAACTTACCTCAAGCAGTAACACTCTGACTTGCATTTGGGAGATGCCCAGTTTGAATCTCAGCTGGGGCACTGACTATCCTAACTGTTATGCTTTTCCTCAGTCGCTCTATACAAATATCTGGTTGGTATCTCGAACTAGGCCCCAACCAATCCATCCAAATCACTTCCAGTTCATCAGTTACTAATCAGTTGATACAGTGACAGGCTACAGACAGGATGACCAAGGAACAAGGGCTCGATTCAAAGGACAAGGGGTTTCTCTCCTCTCCGCAGCATTCAGATTGGCCCTGTGGACCAACCCAGCCTCCTAGCCAATGGGTACTTGTGGCTCTCTCCCCATAGGCAAAGTGGCCAGGGTGAGAAACTCGCCACTCTCGTCAACTACTGAGGTCAAAAATACCTCCAGTCCCCCATGCATATTCAAGACATGCTTAAGTAATTAAGCACAGGGGCAACTTCACACTTTACTGACTAATCAACATATCATTTGACTCACAACCTGAGTTACTGACAATACTGTTAAATATGGCATAATAAATAAATGAAAGGGCATTGGAGAAGATGAATTGCATCATACGCACTCCATCAGAAGATGGAAACAGAACTCACTCCTGAAACACTGTCATTTTACAGAAAGAACTGAACTGACTAACAATGCCCTATGCAAGAGCCTTAAACACTGACATGCTCCCCATGTTGAAAGTGCACAAGGGATCAGACAGAAGGTGAGTACACTCACCAGTAGCTGCTGCAGCCTCGCTGCCCTCCTCGTTCACATCTATGAATGCCTTCTGCATAACCTTGCTAACATATAAATCTGTGTGTCCAGAAATCCCAGAGAAATCAGCTTCCAAGGGCAGGAACATGCTTGTCATACCCAACTGCAAGCAGAAACAGAGGTCACAAAGTGCAATGCAGTCTCTGAAAAACATGTAACAATTAGCCATGCACTCAGTGCTGCCTGTCTCTGCATTAGTCTAAGCAGGGCTCTGTTTGTCATAATGTTCATCACTGTCATTACATTATTTCCATTTCGTGGAAACCTCACTCTAACATTGGAGTTAAGAACACATGGATCTGTACCTCCACTCCCCGTACGTTTTCATGCTGCAGTGCTTATCTAAGTGGAATGACAAATGTATTTTACATATATGCAGAAACATGCAGGTCTCTAAAAATGGTGGTCAAATCAGGAGCTACTTGAAGGGGTGTGCAAGGCTCTCATTAATGTCAAAATCATAAAATTACATTCTGCCATGAAAAACTCAAAAATTTCATTTTAGTCTCTCCTCAAAGAAGTTGCAGAGCTTTCAGTGGGGCAGGAACTCAGTTTACCAATAGCAGTCCCTTGCAGTATACACACCTCCTTGAGTATGTTTTTGAGGTCTGTTGTCTCCTCCAGTTTAAATTTTGGCACCGAGACTCTTACTTTTCGCTTTGGCAGGCGTAGCAAAACTTTGGTAAGGTTCTCACTGGCCAACTTCTCCTCCAGTTTAGAGATTCCATCTACATCATGAGGCAGGATGATAAACATGCTGACCTTCTGATCCTAGGAAACATTACAACTTTCAGAATATGATTAATAATCCAACACTGAAGTACTTGCCACCAGGTGACACTCAAACCTCAACTGTCATCAGTTCAGGCCTGTTATACATGGTATATAAAGATGACTACATAATGATGACTCTGAAATAAGGTCAAAATATGCTACTTACCTGCAGCTTACATAGCGATGCCTTAAGAAGCTGCAACTACAGTGTCAAATGGTATGATTAATGAATTTGACAGAATTTGGAAGGAACAGTACCCCATTTCAATCTACAATCCCAGCACCTGCCTGGTGGAAATGAAGAAAACCATGAAAATCCTATACCAGGACAGTCAGTGTAAGGGCTAAACTTAAAACCAGACACCTCTCAACTACAAGCCATAAGCACCGAAACATGTTGTCGATTACCTTTATTCCAAAGGCGATCCTCTAAAGGTCTGTGACTCTGGGCTGTTCATTCTGTACACATATTATGCAGGATACTGTCAGACATCATAGGTACATTTCCAATAAAAAACATCACAGAAGCTGGGTCTGCTTCAGTCATCTGGCGGAAGCAGGAGAACAGGATATCACTCTGCTGGACCCACTAGGAGGAGCTAGTCTCGAATAGCAGTATATATATGCCACTCAAAGGCAGTGCCCGCTGATCGAGACCAGCTTCCTCTAACAGACCCATCTGAGTAGGAGCCTTTCCCTCACTTACACCTGATGACGGAAGTAGATTCAGTGCTCTATAAATGTTCCTAAGATGATGGACAGTGTCCAACATAACATTCACACCACATACAGGTGGTCTTCTGGTAAACAATGGGACTGAATTAGATACAGAAGGCGTCATTATACATTTCAGATTTCAGGCTGTCATGAGGTGAGATAGCTCAGTCAATACAGTGACTAGGCCACAGGCTGCATGACTGAGGAAATAGGGTTCAATTCCTGATGGAAGCAAAGTATCCAGATGAAACTGTGGCCAACACACTCTCTTATGCCATGGTATTGGTGGCTCTATCATCCAGGGGAAAGTGGCTGGAGCATCAAGCTAACTAAACGCCCCTCCATAAAGTGCTGAGGTTAAAATGCATCAAAATATACGTCGACTTCCCCATCTTCATGGTACAATGTTAAATTAAGAACACAGATACAACTTTTGACATTTTCAGGGCAGTAAAATCAAGACTGCTTTTCTGGGTTGTGACATTGTGAGGGTTTCATAGGTTAAACCCAACATTTCGGTGGAAACCATTGCCTCCCTCCTAAATGCAGAAGTAACACCATCCAACTACACTGAAGGCCAAACCCTGCACTTCAGCAAGCATAAATGAGACCTACTTTGTAAGGCATTTCCAATATATCTGCATCCAACTCCTGAGATGTCAGGTAGCCAAAATCATCTGTTTTACACATCATTGGGACCATCTTACTCTCCCTGCTACTCAGGTGGAACTCATTTGGCACTGTGTTGGCTGCACTGAATGGACTGTGCCACAGCCCCTTGAAGTACACAGCGTTCACTAGCACAAGCCTTGTGAGATCATTCAGTACTCCTGTAACATGATCCACATGCCTAAGCAAATAATCACACCAAATTCCTCTGACCTTAGTCCAAATTTTAAACCTTTCCAATAAACATGTCTCCCCCATCTGCACTCTGTTCAGACTTCAACATGAATTTTATTTGGAATTCACCATAAAATTACCATCACAGTATTGTTTCGTGTAATGAACTACAGCAAACTCGTTACTGGTGGTGATGGGAGGGAGAAGCAGAGCGGACAGTAAAGAACAACATTCAACCCTGAGAATCACTTCAGCCTTACTTCCTGGCCTGCAAGGGGTCACTAAACACTTTGACAAACATCTTTCCAACAGAAGAATGAAACTCTTCTTCAGTGGTTAAAAAACAGTAAAGGTATCCCTGTAACAGGCCATGAAGGGCCATAGCATTGTGAGACGTTGAGGCTTCCACATTTTCCAGACAACTGGCTCACAGATGGCAGTGAGACTGTCAGCTTTACGTGATGGTCACAGGAAGATTTAAGGTACTCATTTCTGTTAAAGAGGCCAAGATGACCCCAGGGCCAGTGCGGCTGGAAGGATTAGATAAACTGAAAAAATCCAATGAGCTCATCGGGAATCAAAACCACAATTTTCCAGCTTGTAGCACAGTGCCTCAACCAACTATGCTACCGCCGCTCCACAGCTCAAGCGGTTAGTCACTGGCTTCCCACCACGGTGGCCTGGATTCGATCCCGGGTCTGGTCAAGTGGGATTTATGGTGGACAAAGTGAGGCTGGGGCAGGTTTTCTCTGAGTACTTCGGTTTCCCCTGCCAATCTTCATTCCACCAATTGCTCCACAATCACCCTCACCTACCCTCTGGGGCTGGTACAATAGGCCAGAAGTGGCCACAGTACAAGGTACTTAGTCCCACCCCACTAACAATTAAAAAGAAACTATGCTACCGCGGGTCCTCTTATTCAGTGGTGCTGCATGAAGAGGCGTGAGGCTATGGGCTGGAAACAACTGGTCAAGGATAATGGCAAAAGTTTCGGAAATATAGAGCTGAACCCTTGGGTTCTGCAAAAGCAGGGAAGCCAAGCCAAGGGTGTGATACAATACAATTTCTACATTTCCCTCACCAAATGGCTTGATCAAAATACAGGATTAATAAAATGTACTTACCTGAGGGTATCAAATCTTTGATCTTGTTGTTTGTTTTTGATTCAACCCAGCTGTTGATAACTTTCCTGGAGCCCTCGCCATCTGCAAAATCAAGCTCCTGAGCTCCAGAAAGGAAGAATTTCTCTGCTACTGCCCTGTACTCTGGCAAAATGCTGTAGTTGATCTGTGAGAATACTTTGTTGGCAATCTCCAGTGTCATATCTTCTGAGCTCTGTGGACAGAGATGGAGCTGTTATCTTCACTTATTCTTTAACAAACATGACTGCATGCAGACAAATTTCAGGGCTGTGCAGCCAATATAACAGATGGTGTGCCAAATATTGCATACATTTCTAAATCAAACACAATTATTTAATTATCCATATTACAAACACATGAATAATTTCTTTTTATAAGACCATTCCTCCTGGTTATATAAATAGTGTGTCTCGTTTGCACAAAAAGGATCATTCATTTCAATCAATAGCACTGGTATAGAGATGGGTTGGAGAGTCAAGGAGTCTGGGTTAAATTCCTGGCAGGGGCAAGAGATTTGTCTCCTCTCCACAGTCTCCAGGAAGTTTCGGGGATCCACAAAGCCCCCCATCAATGGCTATGGGGGGTATTGCCCCAGAGGTTAAAGTGACAGGGATGTTAAGGTGAGCACTCACCTCCATCCAGTAACAAGGTTAAGAATGGTGGAGCTATACTTCTACTCCTCCATATATATCTTCATGGCGTGATGCTTAACTAAGCACAGGGCCAACTTAACCTGTTACCTTTAACATTTATAAGCGTAAAAGTGCATCATTCACTTCTTCCTCACATACTGAACAACACTTCATAAGACACATAAAAATGACTCATTTACATAGCAAAATAATGCACTGAAATTTCATTCTTACAGTTTTCCATTCACCCCGTACCCTATGACATTGCCATGAATATGGGACAATAAATAATTTTTATATATAGCAAATTTATATTAATACGTTTACTGCCAACCCAGTCAACTGATAGGATAAAGTTCACTGTTTGCCAGCGCTAGTTCTCTCCTGAGACGGGCCAACATGTATGTAACTGAAACGGAGGGAAACTTGAAGCATAACTTGTCATAGCTTGAAACAGTGGAAACATACGTGTACAATAACTGTAAACTGTTTTTCACATGAATGCAGTAAGTTGGCTGTTGGCTGACCCAGAAGGAATGGAAGGAATATTATTATTTATTATTATTTGGAGGGGGTGGGTTTCGCCATGCACTGCGACCATTTGTTGATCTATTGTGCGTCCCGCTTTAATTATTCTAACTAGTCGCCATGCCCTTCCAGTACTGGTGCTTGCTATCAGCCCTGTTCTGCCACCGAGGTCGGCCCTCTCTGGCAGTGGTCCCCGATACTTCCCCATCTACCGGAGGAATTGGAAACTGTCAGTATCAGCTGAAATGTGACTGAAGTAGAACTGGAAAGGATTTGGAAGGAGGGAGCAGTCATGGCACTATGCCAGCATTTGTCTGGATGGACTGAGGAAACCCAGTCACAATACTTGGTGTACCAGCTGAGATTGGAACTAAGCACCTTCTGCATATAAACCTGAAGTGTCAGTGCTGCTAGATCAACCTGTTCAGTATGAAAAGGTTAAGAAATGCTGTGCTAACAGAGAAGCGAGTCCAGTGAGCTGCCCCATTCTCATCCTTCTTTACCTTGAGTGAGCCAAGGAGTGCTGCAAAGCCTGTCTTCACATCTTCTCTGTCCAGAGGCAAGTGAAGGGCTGATGCAATCTGCTCTGCTGTGCTACCTGCAGCCCCCATGTAAGCAAGCGCCAACACCAGCTCCACACTGACTGGCGAGATGAGCACATTGCCATCTTTGCTGGAAACTGCCTGGAAAACCACACATAATGGTCAACTGTAGCACCACTTCCAACATGGACAGGGAGATGCTACATCCTGTCTGAAAAGCTGGCTGCAGCAGTGAACAAGTTCCTTCAGCATAATGAAACAATGCCCTGCTAGTGAACCTGTACTTCTAACCCTGAAAAGCGGAAGTGTCAAAGATGATTTTGATCTGGCTGATGTGGCCATTAAGCACTGGTATACTTCATGCCTCGTCCTCATCTACGTCTTCTTTCTCTCCTCCTCCTCCTCTTTCTAACACCATTTCAGTTTCATACAGGTCAGTGGACAAAATGCTGCCAATCACTTCTTCCTTCCCACAATCTTTTGTGTTTGATTTATTGCCAGCTCTTTCCTGATTCCTCGTCATCTTCCAGTGCCTGGCTGCGTCATCTCTCTTTCCTTTAACTTTCAATTCCAATACTCTTCTTGGTCTCCTTGTTCTGTCCATCCTTTTCATGCGGCCAAACCACTGTAATCATTTCTCTTGTAGCTCTGCCAACAAACTTTGACACCCACCTCTCCTCTCAGAATTTCATTCATGCAATGTGTAATTACGAACATCAATTGCGCACAAGACATTTACATTTAATTGTGTCTGCCTCTGCTTCTTATAGTTTATGAGATCAGGTAAGAAAAATCTTACTATAGACAGAGATATGAGTTCCAGAATTCAACTGACTGGGATTAACAAAAGATGAATGATATAACAGAAATGTCAATACTATCTTCCAAAAAATATGTGACATGTGAACACAATATCCACAGCACCATCAATCAACTGCCACTTACCTTATACAGGCTGGTGGTGAAATGAACATTTCCCTCGGCAACCTTCTGCAATGCCTCTGCTGCTCCTTCTTCTACATAATTATCACACATTGTGGCTGAAGATATACTGACTATCAAAAGACACACAAACACAACTGCAACACAAATAAATGTGACTTTACTCCATTATTATGAATCCAGGGAGGGAAAAATGTTCACGTATTCCTGCATAGTTGTACCCTCTGACATAGCACTTAATGTGTTCCCAAAAATGGCGTAAGTTGAAAAATCATGAGTTCATTGTAACATGACATACAAGGATACACTCCTGGGGCTCAAGGCTCAGACCCACTTTTCAGAATTTTATCTCTTATTACACTCTAACTTGAGCTGGGATAGCGTACTTGGTATAGCGACTGGCTACAGGCTGGACGACTGAGGGGTCAGAGTTCAAGTCCCAGTAGGGTCAAGAATTTTCTCTTCTCCACGTCGTCCACCCAGCCTCCTATCCAATGGGTACCGGGGGCTCTTTCCCTGGGAGTAAAGCAGCCAGGGAGTGAAGCTGACCACTCACCTCCAAATAGTGCCTAGGCAAAGAATATGTGGATTTATATATCCAATACCCAACACACCTTCATGGGGTAGTGCTTAATTAGCTAACAAAGTGACAACTTTACCTTATTACATCCTAATTATAGTACTACAAAGACAATAAAGGGGAAACAAATAGCACAGCATTAAGCGTTCTGCATGTTAAAAGGTAATATTTTATCATGGATTCCAAAGAGCACAAGCACAAGCTGCATCATACTCTCGTCCCTTTCCCCGAAGTCATTACCAAAGTAGGACCTACACCTACGTGTATCAGACATCTAAATCCGAAAATTCGGGGCCAAGTCTACCGGGTGTTCGCTTAGCGGGTTCCTGAGTTCGGAAATTCTGAAGTTGAGAAATGGTACGTACGTACATATATGCATGACTGTATAACTTTACATGATACAGTCGGTGATGCGAATATTTACGACTTACCTGTTTTGAAATGCTTGAACAATTAGAAATTAGACAAAGGGACTGTCGTTGCAAAATGCCAAACAACGCTACACGAAACGCAATAACACTATTTACTCGCCATGCTCTAACCAAAATATACAGTATACAAGCACACTTCGGAACTTTCTCTTGTCATCCCAATTAAAGTGACTCATCACCATGCAAATCATTCCAAAAACAACCGAAATGTTAATGACAAAGAACCGGCAAGTTACCTATCACACAGCTGTCATTTTCGTCCTTCAGCCTTACTTTGTCAGCTTGAATCATGTCACTACACTCTTTAAAACAGACTTGTATACTGTCTACTTCACATGTGACGCATGGATCTGAAATTACATACTTTTGTTTCCTTCGTGAAACCTAATAACAACCCTACTCACCCAAACAACAATCTTCTCGATCTTGACACGCCCTCAAGCCATGTGATTTCATTCTAATGTCATCTTGGTCATCTTTCACAAGAACAAAAGTCCACATCACACGATCACATCAAGGACATCACGGCAACGGTTCCCTGATTAACAAACTCCAAAGAGCGAAGTACTTCCTGGCCTTCCTGGCATGCTAATGGTAAAAAAGATCTAAACATTTGTGGCGATGGTATATACGAAATCTTCCGCCTTTCATGTAACCCGAAGGTTATTACCGTGCACCGGGTTTCACAAGAGCCCGCCTCTAGCCCCTACCCTGAACCAATTAAATCGAGCCCACTCCAACATCCAAACACTTTAAACCCCGTAATTTAATATATGAGGGGAATTCATTAAAGGCACTAATGCTATTGTCCAAAATATGGCTGAATGAAAAATCGCAAGAATTCTGCCATTCCTCAGTGCACTTTCCCTTAACATTTGTATAGTTGCCCCTACTTTCTAAAATACGTGAAAATCTTTCAGGTACAACTCCATTAGTTACGTTTATCCACCACAATATTTTGTAATGTTAAATTTTAACTTATTCTCGAATGTGCAGCCGTGTAATCTGATGGATTCTTACTGACGTTTCGGAGGAATCCCATATTCAGCGTAAAAGACCCTCGACTTGAATCGGTTCATCCACAGCCCCGGTTCTGGTCCTCGGTCCCTATACTAATCACATTTTTTCCACGTTCAGCGTAGTCGCGTGTCCTGAAGATGGAGAAAGTACGCTACTCCGAAAGATCGTCGACGATCTACGAAACTAGATTCTAGAGGGTTTTGACGTTGGTATATGACACTCAGAATTACTGGGTTTTCGGACTTCGTCCATCGTCCGGTATTCTAGAAACTAGAAAACACAACGTTTCGGAAACTGTTATCTGTTTTCGTCCACAGGTGGGGGGGGGGGAGGAGAAATGTGTTCTGTTGGATCTGTTGGAAAGAGCTAATCTCAGTCAGCGGATCCAGTTTCAGAAATGTCGTGTTCTATAGGTTTCAGAATGCCGCAAGATGGACAGAGTCCCAAACCCCAATAATTCTGACGATCTACGAAAGTATACGGCATCACATCCCAGAAGTCACAAGCATGAGAACCTCTAAAGTCACGCTTTTTTAATCTTTGTAGTATTTCTGAGCTATGGCACTGTGCCGATGTAGCCTGAATCCCCGTCGTTTCGGAGATGTCGCACTTGAGTGGCTAACAATGATACTTCGCATTCGTCATGTCCCGTGTTCAAATCTCAGTTCTTAGATGGGCTATCCTGAGGTTTGTTCGTAATTTTCTTCAGTCCTTCCATGCAAATATCGGAACACTGCCTTAAACTAGCCTACACCTCTTTAACCGACCAAGCTCGCTCAGGCGGTAATGCTTCTGACTGGTATTCGGGAGGTGTCTGCCCACCGTCCTAACTGAAGTTTCCCGCGATTATCGTCAGTCACTCTACTCGGTTTCCGGGACGGCACATCTAAATAGGCCAAAATCGCTTCCTCATTCACTAATCATCCTACCTTGCAACGCTACGTAGTCAGGTTACCTAAATATGTCCGTATATAAATGAAGGAGGTGCAAATTATGCTCACAACACTGAACAATTCACTTCCCTTTAGTGAGAAGGCGGAATTTACACACCTCTCACCTACCTTGAGCAATCGCAACTTCACACTGAATTAACTGGATGTTATACAATACACCCTGACATCCTCTCGTTCCTCTGGTTCACTCTGGATGCTGCGAAACGCCCAGAACACGGTTATATAAGCCAGCAATCGATACAGTAGACGCCGCATGGTCTCTGACTCATCGCTTCTACCCACTTCGAGTCCGTAAGTGCGACGTAATGCACAAAAAGTGTATCATTAGTTCGTGGGATGGTAAATGCAGGTACTATCCCGGAATTTGCCTGGAGAGGCCGAGGAAAACAACATCAACCAGGATGGAAGGTATACCGGCCGAGATTCGAACCAAGCACTTCCCTCTCGAGCCAGTCCCTCGGTGGGGAATGTGAACCCAGTCCTTCTGCTGTCTCATAGAAGCAGGCAGTCCTATTCTGGGTTCTGCGGAAAAAGGCGTGTTTCTGGGGATATACGAATTTAAGGGAAAAGGTAGAGACATCTCTATGCTTAGTTAATTAAGCACCATGCCATAAAGAAGTATGGGGGAGTGGAAGTACAGCTCCATCATCCTTGACTTCGGCACTAGGTGAAGGAGAGTGGTCAGCTTCACGTCTCGGCCATTTTACTCCCTGAGAAAGAGCAACCAATACCGTTGGGTAAGTGGCTGGATGGGCCTCACAGTCGAACTGGACGCTGTGGAAAAGAGGAAAATCTCACGCCCATACTGGGAATCGAACCCCGGCGGTCAAACCTGTAGCCCTCCGGTATGCGAACTAAGATATCTCAGATACATATTTAAGTGAAGTCATTCTAATAACTAGTTTTGAGGAAAGTGTCTTCACAGATAAACGTTTGCAGTCCATCATGTTGAGAGTGATCAAAACCCCTAATTCTATCACGGATATATTCCGATATAGCGAATGTTTAGCGAAATAACTAATTCAATGTAGCCAAAAGCAAAAAATTGAGTAAAGTAAGGTAAAGTTGTCTCTCTGCTTAATCAGGCACCNTGGGGTGACCACAGGGCCCGTCTGGACTCTTTCACGAGAGGAATTTTTTTGATCCTGCTGGGACATAAACCCAGGTTCAGTGGTCTGTAAACTTTGTCGTTCAGAGGGGCCTCTTGTGTCCCTGTATTTTCATGCAATCCCTGGTTAATAGTACAGTAAGAAAATTTTCCTTCAGAGATTCAAGGGTAGCTTATAAATCTGTATACTTCAATACTCCGAGATGTGTTAATACACCACAAAGACGTAAGGGGAATGGAGGTATAGCGCCACGCATACTTAAGAGGGGGATAGGATCAAAATACTTCTCTTCTCCACAGTAGTTCTGCTGCCCGCCCAGCCTTATATCCAATGGGTACAGAGAGTTCTCTCCTCGTCACTACAGCGGCCGGTGCATCACTTCCATCAGTGTCGAGGTTCAGAATGCATGGAGCTATATCCCCATTCCACCATACGTCTCCATGGCCTGGTGCTTAATTAAGCACAGGGACAACTTTACATTCAGCTACAACCGTTAAGTCTCTGTAAAGTATGTTTCCAGTTATCGCACCTGGTCCGGTGTTCGGGTCCACATCCTTTCTCCGAGCCCTACCCGTGACGTGCAGCACTGCTGTGGGTGCATGGTCACCCTTGGGGACGTGAGATTCGAGATTCTCACGGCGTTGAGCACCAAAGATTATAGTCCTCCGGGTTATGATGCGGTATAGATTGGTAGTTAGGTATAAAACGTTTTGGAGGAACAAAACTGCCTCCATCCTCAGGGTATAGAGGTGAGCCGAGAGGTCCCAGTTCCGCATAATCGTATCATTATTCCCGCTCAGACCCTGAGGACGGAGGCATTATATTTCTCCGAAAACTTTAACTAGCTGTCTGATAATATGGCATCATATAGCACAAGACAGCAATCTTAATATGCATGTCTGCAAAACCTCCAGCCTTGTGGCTGGATGACATCACGCAACACAAATGCCGATGACAAGTGATATCTTATCAGTGTTTACTTGCATGACAGAAACAAGTGGAATTTAAGAGATAAGAGATAATGTTTTACGAAAAGGATTATTTATTACATGTTCCATGAACGCAAGGGACATATGAGGTATCAGTCCTCAATATTCCGAGAACATTTGGGCCGCTCCTAGCCGCCCTTCAGGTTTCGTTCATCGGGACAGCCAGAACATTTTATTACAAATTTCTCAGCCTATTTTTACTGATCGCCCTGGAGTGTTCAGCATAGATGGACACTTCTTGCTTACTACATCAGTGTCTTTAACAATATACGGAACATTTTCTTTCTGCTTCAGTTATTTATTTATTCCTCCAAGAAGCCGGTAGAGGACGGCCTTCTCCCATGGCCTCTGTGACGTCACTTAGAGGGTTCGACACATGGAGCACAGGAGCACTTGGGTTTGCCTGGTGTCCATGCTGTTGGAGGCCAGTCTGTTCAGCGTGCGGCCCAGCAGATGGCGTCGCGTGAACACCTCGTGATCATGACACGGCCTGGCGTAGTCCCCCCCGGTAGCACTAAGCTATCACCAACAGCGCGGTAACATCTAGCACCAATGTGACAGGATGAGCTGCAACACGCAGGACGTCGTCACCTGACTGCAGGAGCGCTCTGTTTTCTCATTTAGACCAAATTGAGACAACGCAGCTTTCTGATTCTGCGTATTGTGCTGCAGCATCTGCGCGCAGTTTCACAGGTTCACTTCACTTGCAAATGTGTCGTTTCAGAGTGTGCTTTGTTCGGAGTCGCATTCAAACTGCGGTTCATTCCCGAACATCAAAATCAGTTTCCCGAAAATTGGCGTTGATGGACTCAGTACACTCCATTAGGTGGGCAAACGATAAAACACGTAAAGTTATCCCAGTAACAGGCCATGTAGGTCCATAGGGTTGTGAGATGTCGAGGCTCTGACATTTTCCAGACAAATGGCACACAGATGGCGGTGAGGTTGTCAGATTTACGCGCCGGCCGCCCTTTCCCCCAGGAAGAGTCTGAGTCGGCCCCAGGGCCATATTGCGGCTGGAAGGATTAGGTCAATTGAAAAATACAATGACCTCATCGAGAATCGAACCCACGACATTCTGGCTTGTATCACAGCGCCTCAACCAACTGCGCTACCGCGTGTCCCGATATAATGACTTATTTGAATTGTGGCCTCTACCACTGTCCAGACTGGTAGGTGTTTGCCAAGCTTTCGGAGGAACATACTGCCTCCATTCACCAGTCTGCATCGAATATGAAGGCAATGTGCTTCTGCAAGTCGTCTGCAAACGCCTGTCTTCACGGTGGCTACCCCTGGCACTCGCGGCAGTCATTGGGAAGGGCACTGTTTCCCGGGAAGGGGCACCGCGGAATACTGCGTCCGTCTTCAGCGTCGAAGCAGCAAGTAGACCGCACCGAGGATAGGAAACCTGGTTCAAACACAGGGTATCCCAGGAGGAAGGTCACTATTCGGGGAGATCATAGTGTCGGTCATTCTAAGCAAAAAGTTTATATGTACATGTGTCCTGTTCCGAACGGTTTCATAGATAGAGCTTTTCACTGTACAGTTCTGAAATTGTTGATAAGAAAGAGACCACTAGGAAGACCAAGGCGTAAATGGGAAGACATTAAATCGGATCTGACATAAATAAGAGCCGATAACAATAGCCGTGTGGTCTAAGGCACCGGCTGTCTTCGGGATCTCTATCATTGGAATCGTGGCACGGGTCCCACTCGAAGCATAGGTTTTTGTGTCGCCCCGTGTAGGAAGAGGTCTTAGGACAAGCTGATTCCCTGCCCAATGAGCCATACCAATTGTCTGTACGATTCATATTTTCAGGAATTAATCTGAATTTAAGCAGGCTAAAGGGCCCAATCGGCATGTACTGTCTTCGCTCGCTTGGAAACCGGGATCGTGGGTTCGAATCCCATTCAGGGCATGGATGTTTAGTTTGGGTGTGTGCATTGTTCTGTGTCTGTGTACAGGTAGAGGCCTTGCGAAGAGCTGATCACCCGCCCAAGGAGTCCTACCGTATGTCTAAGATCTAGAAAAACCGAAGTGAAC